AGTAGTTGTGAATGTGAGGGCAACATGGGCGACGCTCCCGTTTGCATTCGTCAGTGCAACTGTCCATTGCCCTTGCTGTACGGAGTAGTCCGTAGTGTAGGGCTATTGGCGCCAGTTCCTTTTCGACTCCATTAAAAGAATGGAGAAAATGGCCCTAGACGTGTTGCAGTCGACAGTGTCTGTGCTTGAAGTGATGAACCAAGCAGGAAACAAAAAGAGAAATAGGATTCAAGGCTCCAGAGTATTGGCCGCTCGAAGGTTCAGAACGGACAATGCCTTGCCCAGTAAGACACCAAGGCGATCCTTCTTACTCCGTATGCGTCTCGACTCTCCTTTGACAGATATCTACAACATTGGCCAGGCTTGGCAATTTAGATGTTATGAGCCGAGGAAGGACTCTACATGACGACCACGAAGTAGCCATGATAGTCGAAAGGTTCTAAAGTCATAACAGATCCAGACCTGGTCCGGCTGAGTACCGTCAGATCTCAAAATCGGGACTCCCAACGGACTTAGGGTACTATGATGTGCAGTCGTAGTGACAAAGCTGCGAGCCTATGCCGGCGGTGGTGTACAGGGTGTAGTGCGCCAAGCTGAGGCGCCATGGACTGATTCTGCCTGCAGTGCCAGCAGTTGCGTCTCATTGAATGATCCGAGATCCATGATCCCGGTTCCTCCAATCTGAAGTCTGTCACCAAGTGGCAGCTGGACCCCTGACGCCACCATCTTGAGGCTTTCTCTCCCTACTGCGAAATACTACTTCGTAGTACTACAAAAATCTGTATGCCATGGGTACGAATTGTTGCCATGGGCTTGCTCCAAACACCAACGGCCGGTCCGAGTTTCGCGTTTGTGGTCAAAATTGCGAAGTTGGACAGGTAGTAAAAACCCGCCTTGGCGGAGGCACCCCATGTTTTGCGCGAAGCCCTACCCCGTATTTGCCTATTTCGCTTAGCTCTCTGCTTGTGGTTGAATTTTTTTTCAGATCATCCCATGGCATTGCCTGTGACGATTCATTTGACCCAAGAGTATGCAACCCATGATCACAGGTCAACATTGTCATTGGCGATCAAGTGGAGCCGCGAAGGTGGCTTACAACTCTGCTGGTGTTTGGCTTGTGTTCCATGGCGGGCAGAGATCTCACCTGAGCTTGATTGAGAGAAGAGCTCTAGGCTGAAAGTAGTAGTAACAGGTTTCGGGGGGCTCGCCCCCTGCTAGCCGCCATGGCTTTACGGATCTGAGGTGGTTAAGTCTCCTCATGGTCGATTTGCCTGGAACTTGTGGTACTAGTAGGGAGGGAGATCTGAGGTTTTGGGCAGCCGCTCTGCTGGGCCCAGGTGCAGGGCCCTCCGATCATGCTGGATGACAATTTTTTTTCCCCTGCCAGCGAGCGCTTCTCAACAGTAAACCCATGACCATAACCCCAATGTGTCTTGTAAATTGCGCCAGAAACCGGCATGGTCGCTGGCGGCTTTCCTTGTAGTCAATATGAAATCCGGGCTTATAGCTAGCGAGCGAAAAGGTTGGCTTGGAAACCCGCGAATGACGTGGGCATAAATCTCCGAGAGGAACTAGTTTCGATGTGCCTGCCAATGCTGGACCCGGGCGATCATCAAGGAAGCCCACCAACACCGAAACATGACCTCTGCCTGTTCGGGCCGGGCAAGTAGAGACAGCATGGGTGAGCAGAATTGACGCAATTCCTCGTGTGCACATTATGTCTTCTCGAACCGAGAAGCGATTTAGTTGGAGTTTTGCAGAAGTGCTCTCAAATACACAAGAAACCTTGTCAATGCCACGAAATGGGCTGCATCGTTGAGAAACGCCGCCGAATATGCGACGGCATACCCAGAGGTTTGGCGTGATTTCCCTGCACAAAAAGCAGAGCATCAGTGACGAGATTGTACGACAGAGTCGATGCGTAAGTGGGACAAACATCAAGACCAGTTGAGACTCACATGAAGACACGAATAGTCTGAATGTATCGTAGCATTGTAGCCGGAGGGGCAATTTTGGTGTCAGAGGCGATGTTCCTTCCATTCTGCCTGTCCGACTGGCTCTTGATTCGAACAGTGGCAACTCGGTGGCCCGTACAACATGTTGCGTACCCCGTCCTCGGTCCATGTATGTATATGTAGCGAATGGCGCAGGCAGTGCCCCAAACCTGGTGATGGGTAGCAAGGCACTTTGGCCTGTTCAGCGCCGGATTTTGTGCCATAAAGGGAGGCAAGTCGGCTGCCCATCTCGCCGCCAACTCACTGGCCGGAGCGCTGATAACGCAACACAACAAATGCAGGACAATTTCGCATGGAAAGGCCAGACAGGAAGCCACAGTGGTTGACGGGCTCAGTTGATCAAGAGCCAAGAGTCGAGGGTGGGGACGTTTGCTTGATGGCTTGATGGCTTGATCAATTGATGGCTTGATGGGCCGGCGTCCCTGGCCTAGCGCTCTCGCGGGTCCGACCCTAGCCTAGCCGAACAGCCACCAGACGATTGAGGGCGGGCGGCATGCCGCCGGAGGGCAGGAGGGGACCAGGGCCGTCCTTGCTCAGCCGCAGCCAGTCCCGCAGAACGCGGCGACCAGGTTGCTCCGAGTACAGGCGGCGCGAGACTGCGTGGACAGGTACGTGGAGGTACGGGCAGGCATCACACACGCTTGCCTGCCCTGTCGACTTTGGGACGCCCTTTCCAAACAGAGTGGAGGTTGCGGTGGCCTCCAGATGAGACCGGGGCTAGGCCAGCGATGCGATGCGATGCGATGAGATGAAAGAGGAGCAGGCAAGCGGGTTGGCGGGCAAGAGGGCAGGCACTAGGGTCTGGCAGCTGCCTGCACCTGTCTACAGTCTGCGTGCAGCTGCACCGCAAGTGCCTCGGGCCCGTCCCTGAGGAGCGTGGGAGTGCCGAGCACCGTCGATGGCCTCGCCACTACTCCGTACATGTCGCATCGTCGGCCTGAATGAAGGACTAGACACAGTCCGTACTGATGCCATGGCTGGATTTACTCAAGACAATCGACCTGCATACGAGCCATTCAGGACCTGCGCAAGTGACTACCACGGGCATCATCGGAGGCTGAGGCCAGGAGGCCCAGGCAGGTCTGGCTTGGGACGTCTGTGCCCAAGATCAGCCCAGCTCCAACTCGACTAAAGATGCTGCCATGAACGTGCCACACCTTCGGTACAAGTGTGCAAGGTATGGCGCCAACAATTCGTCTGGTCTGGTACAGAGGATTGGCTCGAAAATTTTTGATTCATCAGCTAACTAGTCCTCCTGCAGTTAGGGGCTGCCAGCATGCCGCCTGCCGCCAAAGCCCTCATGTTGACAGGCATATCGCAACAAGCGCAGCATATACCGAGCAATCAACATGACTTCATTCAACAATGACCACCACCGACCAGAACCAACGTACCACCATTTCTGGCGAGATTAGATCGTTGCATGACCAGCTTGCCTCGCCCGCCTGCTACGGGTTGTGCGCCGTGTCCAGCCTCGTCGTACCCGCGCTGACGTGAATTTGCCGCACAGCCAACGCCGCGGGCCTAGACTTGGACATGTACACGTACCCGTTGGCTTGCCCACTCGTGTCCAAGGTCCAGTGGCTAATTTGCTTGCTACTCCATGTCTCATTGCATTGCGAAAGGCTTGCATATGCACCTTATATGCGTACCGAGTACTGGCAAGTACTAGTATGCATACATCGGCACTCCGCAGGTAGAAGACGCCAGCTCTGTCATGTTTAACAGCTGCTGTGCCAGCAAACCCACCTTCTACGAATGCCCTATCCCTGTCACAACAGCGGCCGCCGCCGTGGCTCCTTACCGATCGAGAACGGTTTGGGGCCGACGAAGCCAAAGGCCGCGTTGGCGGAGCGGGCAAGCGCCGAGCTGACTGCAACTATTGCTGAGCCATGCGATTATAGTGCTTGGTTGACTATGTATGTGTTCGCGCAACTCCGTAAAACACACCGGGTTGAATATCGAAGCGGTACCGAGCCTCCTGAGGTGACAGGTCGGAAGTAATAGCATGGCTTGTGGTCCCTCTGGATCTGAGCCGCGTTCTTGTTCTGGCGCTCCAGTGACTTCATGGGCAGAAGGGAAATCGGAAGACGGAGTTCATCGGACACCCTGTCAACCTGTTACCCTGTCCATTTACTCCGTACTGTGCAATACATACGGAGTGCGGAGTGAAAGGACGTACACAATCGAAGCGCAACCGGCCCCATATCATCCCGCACCCGTGTCCAGAGCCTTGTCTTCCAGCTGTGCTCGAAAGCTCATGCTTGCTCATCTTACATGGCATCCCCGCCGTTCTCTCATGGTCGCTTTCTCGACACTCCCACCTCACGCCCCGGCCATCATCACCTTGCATCCGACACAGGCGTTTACGCCAGCTCCTTCAGACCCCTTTGGGCTTTACTTGACTCACACGCCCCTCCCTCCGGCCGGTAGCGTCTCCTACCCGCTATGTGGGGAGAGGGGGGTTGCTCAACATGTCAGCCTGGTGTGTACGTTAAGTAATACGCCTCCTGGGCCCCCGATGGCTGGGATATCGAGCTGCTGTGAGAGGAACCAGCTTTCGGGGTCGCATCTATGCAGGCATTTTGAAGCCAAGATCTTGCCATGTACCGACCAGTCGGACCCACCCCTAGCCTGTTGCCTTCTCCATGTGTTGTATGAACGTCGTTTAACAAGATGGCCATCTTGGATCTCAACTTCATATGACACCCCCTTTCCTCAGCCGACTTCTCAGACCCCTCTCTGAACCTCATCGCTCTTTTCAACTTATATATCCTGCCGCCTTTCCCCTTGCCGATGAGGTTTCACCATTACAGCAGAGCATTGATTGTCATTATCATCTTCAAATACGCAATTAGGCCAGAACTCTCCCAGCTTTCTTGGAAGCTCTTCTCATTGCTGCCTAAGCATATACCATCTGCTCTCTATTTTCTCTTCGTTCCTACTGGTCTTATTACATTACAAGACTGTCCAACTATCGGCTCGATGGCTCTCACAGCTTCACCAGCTGCTCCGCACAACTGGGGGCGATGGCCACAGCAGTTGCCTCACGAATTCGCCATGATGGAAGCACCTCCTTTCATGCCTTACGACTCCCGCGGAAACCCAGCGCAGATGCAGAGGCCCATTCCGCCTCAATATGTTGTGTCTCCTGCGTACAGCTCGGCGCCGATTACATCTATGACTACTTCTCATTACCAGGCTCAGAACCCCTTCGCTACATATGCGCCATATCAGAGCCCTCCGCCTTCAACCCCTGTTGGATCGCCTTTTAAACCCGAATATCAAGATCGTTCTCACCCCATGTCAATCGCCACAGATCCCGAGGCTATGCGCGCGGTTTCATCTCGACGAAGATCGAGACAGATCAGTGATGCTCGATTGCAGTCCCCGGCTCGGAGCGACTCTGATGTTTCCGTGGCACGTTCGGTTGCTTCCAATCCGACTGCCAACTCCAAGACTATCACATACAACGAAACCATTGACCCAGCTGATCGTATCAACTTCGAGACTGATGTGGATGAACTGATGAAGGCTATTCAAGCCAAAGAGGACGAGCGCAATGATACACCGGGACAGATCCTGACCCCCGCACATACACCCAAAGCCGAGATAGTCATGGATGTCCATAGTCCAGCCAACTCCTGTCATGCGACTCATGCCTCTACACCCGTTCCCGAAGCCAAGCCCAAGAAGAAGTGGGTTTGTGACGGCCCAAGTTGCAACAAGCGATTCGTGCAGAAGACGCATCTCGACATCCACCGCCGAACCCATACTGGCCTCAAGCCCTACGTCTGCACCAAAGACAACTGTGGACTTACCTTTTCTCAGCGCGGAAATCTGAAGGTGAGTGTGTCAAGCTCATGGGCCGAAACGACTTCATAGGCTAACTTTGAAAAGACTCACATGCGTCGTCACACTGGTGAAAAGCCATATTCCTGCAGCATCTGCGGTAAGACGTTCGCCCAGAGAGGAAACGTCCGATCCCACGAAGAAACGCATAAAGGTCTCAAGCCTTTTATCTGCAGGCTCGATGATTGCAACAAGTCCTTTTCTCAGCTCGGCAACATGAAGACTCATCAGAACAACTTCCATAAGGAGACCTTGAAGAACCTTACTAGCATGTTTTTCAAGTTTGTCCAACTGGGCGAGGTCCCTGAGGAGCACCAGGACCTTTTTGATTATTTCAAGGAGCATTATAAAAACAGCAACAAGGGCATCAAAGGTCGTGGCAAGGCCAGAACTGTTGCTGCAAGGAAGCCCAAGGGCAACTCTCAACAGACTGCCACTGCAGCTCCTATGATGGCAAACCAGTTCCCCCAATCCCACGTGGCCAACTCGGCTCCGGCATATGTTCCTCGCAACTTCGGCATGTTTGAGACTGAGGCAGACCACGCGACAAGTGGTATGCTGTATGAGGACGAGCACGCTCGACAGATGGCCTTTGCCAACCGTCTGTACCAATAGAATGAATAACATCTACGACGACATGACGAACCATATGGACACCGGCAACTTTCGCAAGGCTGTCAATGCATTAGTGCTTCCCTATGATTGATATGAACCTGTTAATATAACCGAAAATGGCTGTAGTCAGCAGCCTGATATTTTTTCCCCGTCACCCTTTTTACGCATCATGTAATGCAATATCTTCCTGGAGGAATACCCTGGGCGGCTTACAAACAACTTCGTTTCCACCATGTTTCAAAAGTTAAGCAGGGCCGGCAGCGCTTTATATCAAGTCTCGTTTTTGACCTTTTCTTTTACACAGTCACCATCAGCATTGGGTATGGCAAGTGTGTCTGCATTTTCGCAGAAAACAAAAATCATGTGGCTATTTTACATTTGCAGGAGCAATGGGATATTGGATTTGGAATAACCGTGCGATGTTAAAACGACTTAGTTTGGAGGAGTTTTAATGTGCTTTTGTCCATGCAGAAAGGAGGCTGTTTGAAAACAGGTTTTGTTTATTTGGTTATATTTCGAATATTTTGTCACCATTGCATCATTATACCACCATCTGTTTATGCTTTTTGTTGGAAAATTATTGCTGCTTTTCTCTGTACGAATATGGACTGGATTCGCGGTTCGATCACTATGGAATCGATTTAGTGTGCTATGGTATTGGGTATTTTTTTTTCCTAGTATGAAGATCTATTTATTGTGCGCCAGAGGAGCCCCCGAGGCCAAGATTATTGCTAGGTGCTTTCCTGCAATGGGGATTTTCTCTCAAGACAGAATAACATGATCTATTGTGCTTCGCAACACACTCTTGACGCCAAGACGTAGAATCGAACTGTGCCTGGTTTGGACCTCGTTTCTGTTGGGATGGGCGGAAGTCCCGACTGTTTCGACACGGAGAGAACGAAGTGCGTATGTACGAGGCATTGGAACTGGGACACACACCTCTCTTCTCCACCACACTCAAGACACCATGCAGGGAGAATCTGAACGGGACTTGTCCATATGGGAGTCCTCCCCGGGAGGTCTGGCATCTTCGCTCAAGCCTCTTTGTGGTAAAGACTCGATAGAATAAACCAAGAAAAGTGACAGCGGAGAGCAAGGAAGCCTGTTGGCCGCATCGATTCCGCCCTCAAACCAGTCAAGTGTTGGGGAGGAGAGCACCATCCCATATCGCCAGACCCCGGGCAAGCCAGGACCAAAAAGGCAGCTACAACGAATGATTGGACAAGGCTACCGTGTACCCGGGAACATGGGTGTTCCTTGCGTCTTGTCATTTTCAATTCTCTCCGACCGACCGGTTTGGTTGCCAATCCCTCCTCCTCCAGGTTGGCGACAATGTTTAGTCAGAGGGTGTGCATTACGTGCATCGTTTTGCCGCACGACGGCATGGCGCAACTACTGCTGGGGGACGTGGACCACCTCGGGTCCCCCCCCAAAAAAAGAGTGATGCAAGACTTTCTGGGGATAGACTGCTGCGTCTGAAGGCGCCGACTTGTCGCCGTGCGACTGTTGGTCCCGATGCTGTGGAATAGGGAGCGGCAGAACCCGGTTGCCTTGGGCTGCATGCCAAATGTCGGGGGGAACACGTTGAGAGGGCATGAATTTTTTTTTTTTGGTTGTTTTCGCTACACAAGCACGACTGCTGGGCTACACAACTTGCTGTGCTGAAGACAATGCCAGGGTCGTTCATCCGATCTTGGTGGACGGGGGAATAGCAACTCTTGCGGAACGCCACGCATGTTGGACCTGGGCAATCGGCGGTCATCGGCGCGCTCCCAGGTAATCCTAGCCACACTTTTGGAGATGAGATGAGTACAACTGGGATTGAGCCGGGGTGGTTCCAGCTTCACCAGGTTGAGTGTGGCGCAACTGTGCATCTGGCACGCTGCATGGACAAGGGCGCTGAAGCGGCTTGACCGTGTTTTCTCCATCTCGGTTTCTGCGTGTTTGTGAAGCGCGGCATGACCGCTACTTGTGCGTTGGCAACCTGATTTTTTTTCTCCTAACAGAAAGTGCGGGCGAAGGCATGACATGGCAAGCGTGTATCGGCATGGCTGGCAAGGTGGTGACTGGAGGTGGCAGGGTATTCTCGGCGGATAAGCTGCGAAATCCTCAAGAGGGACTTGCAGACACAGCTATACATGACAAGATTTTCTTGGGCTGAGAGATGCCCGGCATTGCTGCCAGTGTCTGACGGGATGGGTTGACGAGACAGACGTGCATGCAGGCAAGCTACGTTGTATTTTCTGTTGGTTGACATGGTTGTTGAAAAGATCGGTCTGCATGGGTGCACCAGATCTGGCTGCTTGTTCGGGACATACAGTAGCATTGCGGCTTCGTCGAATTCACCGCCTGCGGACGGGCATCTTTCGGGGTTGGTCTATTGCGAAAAACTGCAACTGTTGCTAGACACAGGTTGGGGGTATATTGCACCCCGTGCAGCAGCTGCAAGTCTCACCATCACGAGAAAGCGTGAGTATCGTAGGTTGTTGGCGGGTGATGATGCGGGTTGATGGGACGAACAACACCTCTGATGCCGGCTACCTGACCATCAACAATGTCAAACGATCAACCAGACACCTTTGTGTATGTATGTCGCACCCGAAAATGCTCCTCCTGCTAAGCATCGAAGCGGCAATTCCGTCGCTACTAGGACCAAAGCACAGCCTTGGCCGAGTATAATGAATCATCAACTCTTCGTTTCACGTGTATTGCAAGGACACATCCGAGGAGAAGAACTACCAAGCAAGAAAAGAAGCAAAGACTCTTCAATGCTCTAGCCTGCCTTTGGTTTCCCAGCCCGTTCTGCCGAGAGCTTGTTCGAGTTTCAAACAAGCGCAACGGGCTTCATGATGAAGTGAAACCCGCTGTCTTTGCGCGGCGCCACGATGACCACTACAAGGATCATTTTGAGAGGCTATGACGGACAGGCGCCGATGAAAACCAACAGGCTGGTCGGTTTAAACACCGGAGGCTACTTTGGAAGGTTGGTATCGAATCTTTGAGGGAGAATGCCGGCCAGGCTGAACAAGTGTGGTCCGATTTCCAGCATCGAAACCCCTCTGCCATTTGAGACGAAAGCCGCGCGGGTAGTGGCTTGCCGGTATGTGGTTGATGAACACAACCATCACTCTCCAAACTTCAACTGCCAGCGTTTCTCAATGGATTCGGGGGGAAAGTAGTCGATTAGCAGAGGCGCCGGGAGGCCCTATCCATGGCTCTAACCACGGCAACGGGGAAGCTGTCGAGCTACATCCGGATTATAGAGCTAGCCTCCATGCAGGGTTGACACGAAGAGAATGTTATCGCCACTCTTGAGTTCATATGATTCCTCCCCTTCCAACTCCCAGTCAGCATCGTTAATAAGAACTAGGATTCCCGGTCGGCTGCCGTGACCCAACAGCCTGGTTAGCGGTGCTCGAGTGGTGCCGAAACGGAAATGGCGGTTGCGAAGAAAAAAAGTACTACCTGAAATGATGAGATACGCCATGCTCTTACCCGAGTAGCCACTTGACCAATCTCTACTGGTTTGAGCGATGCTTTCGGCGCACGTTCACTTGGCAGAAGGCAACGTTGCGAGTGGAAAATGACTTCTCACAACAGAAAGGGGTGCGTGTTTTGAGAGGCCGCACGGGGATGAGACACAAAATTGCAAATTCACATACAGATGATCGTCCAGGACAAAAAGTTCCGTGCGCGTGTCATTCATGACGTTCTGGCAAAGATGATGGATCAAGAAGGCGATATTAGCCGGTTGCCCCCCCTTGTCCTTGACGGGAAGTCTGAGCGAATGGTGACGCTGGTCGGCAAAGAGCATCTCCAAGCCTCCTCTGTAGCCGACATTGTTAGTCGGGTTCTAGCGTCATAATGGACGAAGGACTGGGACCAGGGGACGCAGAGATCTCAACGGTGATGGCTGCCCTTGAGATGGCGATTGGGCGTATGGCGATGTCGCGAAGACCAGGCCAGGTCCCTGACTCGTGAACATCGTTGGCTGTCCAGCTGAATGTGCGACAAAATAACTTGGGAAGTGCGAGCGAAGTGGACTTACGAGAATTCAACGGCTACAGTAAGTTGCCCGTCGGGGCACGCGATTTCCGCTGCGGCCATTCTTCTTGGTATGTGTACGATTGTGTGAAAAGCAAGAGGCACAGTGCTCCGTGAAGTAGAAAGTTACAATTTGCAATGATGGATTTGCGCGTGGAGGCAGGAAGTGAATCTTAGCATATTACTATGGCTGCATGTGCAGGAATTTGTTAGTGCGAAATCGATGCTTATCGATAAGAACCTTGCTCCTCCACAACGTCCATTCAAGCCTGCGTAGCCAATCAGATCTCTCGACGGACACAATTTTCAGACTCACCTCGAATGCTCTCTCGTAGACGCCTGTCGACATGGCCGCTGAAGGGCTGTCAGTAGAGTACCTGTCTGCCGGTGCTAACAGGCAGACTTCGGTTGCAGACTGGAGCAAGACTGGCTTGTTGGCTTTTGGAGCCGATGTGAATATTGCCCTCTGGCGCCCGACCGTGAGTTCTTGACCCTTGCCAAACCCTGCGATTCGCATTTGATGTCTAACAAAATGCATTTCCAAAGGCTCATCCGCCTCGCGGTATTGAGCATATTCTTAGTGGCCACAAAGAAACGGTCAAAGCAGTAGTATTTCTGCCTGAAAGCGACGAGGATGGCTCGAGCTACATCGCGTCAGGCTCCGATGACAAGACTCTCATCTTCTGGAAGTCAAAGGGTCATGGCCACAACTTCGAAGCTGTCCAGTCGTCCTCCGAACATACTGCTCCTGTAAATTGCGTCGCTGCCGTGAGGATTGCTGGCGAACCGGCCAAATGGATTGTCGCAACGGGAGCAGCGGACGCAACAATCAAGATCTGGTCTTTTGAGAATGATCAACTGCAACTTCTCCAATCCATCAAGACAACGCCGAAATTCTTTCCTTTAACTCTCTCTTTGGGTATTATTGACGGCGACGTGCTCATTCTAGCGGCTGCTGGCACGCGCGAGACCGTCCAGATCCTCACGGCTGATCTCAATACTCCAAGCATGGACTTTAGTGTGCAAGCGACCCTATCTGGACACGAAGGCTGGGTACGCTCGTTGAGTTTTACAAAAGAGACAAACGAAGCTGGTAGCGATCTTCTTCTGGCATCAGCCAGCCAAGACAAGTACATTCGTATTTGGAGAATTCACCAAGGACAAGAGCTACCGGCTCTAGCAGCAGCCGGGTCAGATCCCCTCAGCGGTGCGTTTCTTCCTGGGAAATCTCCGTCAAATAAGGCACACCATTTGAAAGCCGCAGGCAAAGACTTTTCCGTGACGTTCGAAGCATTGCTGCTCGGCCACGAAGATTGGATTTATAGCGCAAGATGGAAAACGCGTGCCGACGGCAAGCTGCAACTTCTCTCAACCTCTGCCGACAACTCTTTGGCAATTTGGGAAGCTGATCCCGCCTCTGGCATCTGGGTTAGCATGGCAAGGCTGGGCGAGATCAGCAGAGAAAAGGGGGCCACGACAGCAACTGGCAGTACCGGCGGTTTCTGGACTGGGCTGTGGTCGCCGCTCGGCGACTCTGTTGCTTGTCTTGGAAGGACAGGAAGCTGGAGACGCTGGGAACACGATTCCTCAACCGATACGTGGAAGCCATGTGTCGCCATTACTGGTCACACCAAGGCAGTGACTGGCATTACTTGGGCCAAGGGCGGCGACTATCTCCTGTCAACAAGCTCTGATCAGACATCACGATTGCATACCAGATGGACGGCATCTGGCGCTGGCACGTGGCATGAAATGTCTCGGCCGCAAATTCACGGATACGACTTGAACTGCATTGACTCACTGGGGGACTCTCAATTTGTCTCTGGTGCTGATGAGAAGCTCATGAGAGTGTTCAGCGAGCCCAAGGCAGTTGCGACACTACTCAACAATCTTGCAGGCTTTGGCCATGAGAATGTGGAAAACATGCCAGATGCGGCTAATATGCCTGTTCTTGGTCTTTCCAACAAGGCCATTGATACGGTGGATGATGACCAAGAGATCCAACCCATCGATGACCGCGACCGAGAAGCGGTGGATCCTGCCTCGGTGGTCAAGAAGTCATACCTGGAAATCGACCACCCGCCATTCGAAGAAACCCTTTCAAGACACACTCTGTGGCCAGAGGTTGAGAAGCTATATGGCCACGGCTATGAAATCTCATGCCTTGCAACCAGCCATGATGGCAAACTCATTGCCAGCGCCTGCAAAGCCAGCTCTACCAACCATGCCGTGATTCGACTGTTTGAGACGGAGAAGTGGACAGAAATCCGACCACCGCTCGTAGCACACTCTCTGACGGCCACTCGACTCAGGTTCTCAGGCGACGACAGGTACCTCCTCAGTGTCGGTCGCGACCGGCAGTGGGCTGTGTTTGAGAGAAATACTGGCATCGACGCCATGTACGAGCTGCTCCAGTCAAATCCCAAGGGCCATAGCAGAATGATTCTTGACGCTGCCTGGGCACCGACACAAGCGCCTCTCTTTGCCACGGCAGGCAGAGACAAGCAGGTTAGAATTTGGTCTTCACAGGTGGGAGAAGCCGGGAAGTTGCACTTTACTCAAACCGCCAGTCTTGCCTGCGGTGGTTCGGTCACATCTGTCGACTTCGTATCAACTATTGTCGGGGGAAAGCTGGTTTTGGCGGTCGGGACGGAAGCGGGCAAGGTCAGCATCTGCTTAGTGAATGAAGATGGTTTGGCAGTCACTGAATTGCCATCACAACCAGAGTAAGTTGATAACGGGACAAGCACTTTCATCCAACAGCTGAATCCCATGACTAACGTGATGTAGGTTGAATCTTCCCAAGACAGTTCTTCAATTGGCCTGGAAACCAATCCGCAAACCCGACGAGTCTGGCTACACACTAGCAGTGGCTGGTGATGATAGCTCTCTGAGGCTGATTTCGTTCAATGAATCCTATTTATGAATACAATGAATAGACTGAAATAAAAACACAGTTGCAAAAGGAAGGGTATGCGTTTTCACCCAAGTGTTGCCAACTCTGACGCAATGCAAGTACAAGTCTATCTTGCGCCTTACATGATCAATACGCCAGTGGCAGTTTAGCGCGTGCCTTTGTCTGGTGTTGGCAACTCTTATTCACCGTTGGGATCCCTGTGATAGTTTGCATTATTAACAGCGTGAGTGAGCGATGCGCCCTTCCTATACTTGCCAGCCATACGAGGTCAAGCATATCAATACTCTTGTCTTGCAGTGTTGCATGATGATGCACGAACGGCAATGCACCACCGTCCTGCTGCTTGGCCCAGTTCACAAAAGATGGTGCCAACCTCACAGAACGACGATGCTTCATCTTGTGCAGCAATATGACAAATGCTCCGGCGTCAGGCTAGACAATCGGAATAGTCAAGGGTCATTACAGCGACATGTTTCAAGGTAATGTAAATGCGTGACGTTGGCTGGCCCTGCGTTAACATGCGACAGGCGTCATCTCTGCGGGCGAGACTTCATCTCCAATCCCCGGGGATGCAGCAGTGTACATGGTCACTGTAGAGGCGAACCATCTGTCCGGAGCATCTCCAGATGTCCTCTGCTGGTACCAGGCGCACCCTTCCAATCGCTTGAAACGGGCTTTGCGGCCGCCATTGATCTCATCAAGCCTGTGCGAATTATGCGCTGGCTCCGCTAACTCCGGGAGCCGGTCTCTGCACAATACCCTCCCAACCGGGAAATCCACCATGTGCAGTGGTGCCAAAACGACCACGAGCCGGTACAAATCTCCTTTATAAGAGCGGTACATGAAACTGCCACCACCACGTCTTCAAGTTGTATACACTTCTCATTCCATCCCATCCATTTGCGACATCTACAGCCATGTCCTTCCCCGGCTTCTTATACAGCCAGCTCATCCAACGGCTGCCCTACCCATCAGGCTCGCACGCCGGCCAGACCGTCATCGTCACAGGCAGCAACGTCGGCCTGGGCAAAGAAGCAGCGCGCCACTTTGCCCGGCTCCACGCCAAAAAGGTGATACTCGCGGTGCGCAGCCTCGAAAAGGGCGAGGCCGCCAAGCAAGACATCGAGAGCAGCCTACGCGATGCCGGCGGCGCAGGCAGCACGACCGAGGTGCACGTCTGGCCGCTCGACATGGCCAGCTACGCCTCTGTCGAGGCCTTCGCCGCCCGCGCCAACTCGGAGCTGAGCCGGCTCGACGTCCTCGTCGCCAACGCGGGCATCGCATCGGGCAGCTACTACACCGCCGAGGGCAACGAGAGCATGGTGACGGTCAACGTCGTGTCGACCTTTCTGCTCGCCGCCCTGGTCCTCCCCAAGATGAAGGAGTCGGCGAGGCAGTTCGGCACCAGGCCCACCCTGACAATCACCTCGTCGGGCGTGCATGCCGAGGCGGCGGACCTCGTTGCGCGGGCCGCCGCCGCGGGGGAGCTGTGGCCCCTCGTCAACGACCGGCAGACGGTCGAGGCGCACTTTGCCGCGCAGTACCCTGCGTCCAAGCTGCTCGAGATATTTGGCGTCAGGGCCATAGGCGAGCAGAGCCCCGCGGCCGGGTTCCCCGTCACTATTAACTGTGTCGACCCTGGGCTTTGTCACTCGGAGCTGGGCCGGGATTATCCCACCTGGGGGTTCTGGCTGCTGAAGCTGCTTCTGGCGCGCTCGACTGAGGTTGGGAGTAGGAATCTGGTGGCTGCGGGCTCCATGGGCCAAGAGTCCCACGGCAAGTATGTGTCGGACTGTGTGGTCGCTGAGCCGTCGGCGTTTTTGGACAGCGAGGACGGACGCAAGGTGCAGAAGATGTTTTGGAAAGAGTTGACGCAGAAGCTGGACGAGATTAAGCCTGGTGTTTCGGGGAACTTTTTGTAATGTTGTTGAAATATTCTTTTTAAACTTATAACATGTCCACGAGGCCATCAATTGATTCAAGGTCATATGCCTGATACAGGGCTGGTTATATGTTGGCAAATCCACCTTGCTATTGAAGTCCTGATTCGATGCAGTTACTTAGCTGTAGTCACCTGCCTGGTTGATTATTTTGCATCAATTTATAGTAGCTGACGAGTCTCCATGGTCTCCCAAATAGTAACTCGCAAACCACATCCCCCGTTTACATCCACCGACAATCCGGCTCATGAATCTCACAGCAGCAGCTCTTTTCTGCTCAGCGCGCCTCCACCAAGAGCAAAGCTCGCCTTCAAAGGCGTGACACTGGACAAAACACCGACGTTAGCACCAAATCTTCCGCAACACCCCTATCCCCAGTATGAAGGTGAAGGACCTACCTTGTGTGGCCTTGCTTCAGGATCCAGCCATCATTACCAGGTTCAGACTCGTCCACACTCCTGCGCACGTCGGCCACCCTCGGCGACCATTTGAACTGCCTGTGCAAGTGGCCAGTCCCAGGAACCCAGCTCCCGTCCCTGCCTGCTTCGCCGTCGGGGCCCTCTCGAATACGAGCCTCCTCCATGTCCGTGTCCGCCTCGTCCTCGACCTCCTCGAAGCAGCTGCCCTCCCACTTATTCTGAAGCATGTCGGCAAAGACGGTCTTGCGAGCCTCGACGCCCTCCACCAGCGGCACGTTGACGCTGTACAGGTCCACGCTGCCGTCCTGCGGCCACTGCTTGTACAGGGCCTCGATAACCTTGACGCCGTGCCGGCACGCGGCTTCAATCACGGCCGGGGCGTGGTGGTCTTGTCGCGAGACGATGGCGAAGCTCAGGGCGATGGACTTTTTCCGACACACGGCGGCTTCCATGGCGGCGCCGATGGTTCCCGAGCTGAGGGCGTAGACGGCCGTCGAGTTTCTGCCGTAGTTTGGTCCGCTGACCACCAGGTCCACGGGGCCTTTGTCGTGGAAGAAGTGGTAGAGGCCGATCTGCGCACAGGAGGCGGGCGTTCCGTCGAGGAGGATCCATTCCTCGACTTGGTTGGTAGGGGAGGGCCGCTGATGGAGAGTGCCTTTGGAGGCGTCGTGGACGGCTGTGCCTGGCCGGTAGTAGAGCGGCTTCAGGGTCTGGCCGATCATGTAGGCCTTTCCGATCCATGAGCGCTGCGTGTGCGGCAAGCAGACGGAGACGGTGTGGCCGGCCTGTTGGAGCTGTCTGACGAGGCAGTGGACGTAGGGGGATGACTCTGGAGACGGCGGGCCGTCGTCGTTTGTGACGAGGATGTGCATGTTTTCGCTGGACAAGTTGGATAATGGGGGGGTCAGTGTTTGGGATCGATCAGAGAGGGTTTTGGCACGGCAACAACAACAGCGAGAGACTCCATTGCGAGGTCCATGAGTTGCTTATAAGATGAAGTCGTGGGTATAGGGGTCGTGAGAGCTGCTGTCGAGGGAAAAGAATGCTTTTTCATGTTTCCCTCCGGCAACCGAGGTCAACGGCGATCGTGAATGGATGACATGATGCAACGCCTTGCCCAATTCGGGCATTAAAGTGTTGGTGATGCATCGCGGCCGGAGTCGGGCTCCACAATCGGTGGAGACCCGGGACGCATACGGGCAGACTCCGGAGCCTTGGAACAGCGTGAATGCCCTCCTCTGGGTGTGGGAACCCACTCTTGACTAATGTGTTCGCCCCTGACAAATGTATTTGCCCGTGACTAATTCGCCTTTGACTAATGTATTCGCCCTTGAGAAGTCGTCGTCGGTGTTGGGCCGGTTGTGTCGTTGACCAAAGTCCAGCCTTGCAAGATGCCATGGACAAATGTGACCAAGAGTATTAGGAAGTGACGTATTTAAAAACTGCACTACACCAGCCACCTTATCCAACACTGACCCAAGTATATGATCTATAGTATAGTATATTTACCTAGCAACAAGGCGCCGTTAGTGCTTCGAGGACCGCGAGGAAGCCAGGCAGGTTGATGAGCGGGCCGCCATTATTAGATCTATTTGTTCCGTGACTTAGTAGTTAACATTGATAACCACTCTAACACTCTGAAGGTACTGACACTGCAAGCTGAGCTGCTCGGGTTCACAGAAGCTGGATCTTCGTAGTCTGTTTGGGTAGACATACTGCCATGGGGAGCAATGGCAAGGGTGTACCAATGGTGGTCAACTTTTATCACAGCTATGCGAGTCTCTGAGAAAATACGGGGACACCTGTTCACGTCCATGGTTATGAAGGGGATTTATAGGCTCTACTGCCCACGCCGTGAATGGCATAGATCTTATTGCACCGGAGATGTTCACAAATAAGTCGCTGACCACTTTGGTCGTCATCTGCATTGAACGTGCTTGACAGTCTGACTTGAGACCTGTCAGAGAGCCACAGGCCACACATGTAAGCTGAACATCTGGGTGCTCGGCCAAAGGCTGCTGTTTCTGGATATCTTGCTGCATGCCTCGACGATCAAGCCTGATCACCATTGTGGCAAGAACATATAAATCCCAGTTGGGAAATTTCCTCGTATTCTCGTGGCCTTGAACTGTTGCCCGGATAACCTTGATCTTGACAAGAATACCCCTATCCATCTGCGTAAGCGTCCATGATTCTGGGTTTTGACCGTGACTAGGCCTAGTCCTGTGATGTTGGTTATTCTCAATATGTTCACCAAGGTCGGGGGCAGGCCAAGGCTGAAACCCCAGTCATGTAAGCGGTAATAATGCACTCGTCATCTCTCTCTCTTTCACCTTTTGAACAAAAACAGAAGCTCCTCTGAACTCAAAGGTAGGACAGTGTCAAACTCGGCTGCATGGTCATGAGGTGTGGGCGGTCTCAGGCCTTGCGCCGTGCGCAGGAGGATTTGCTGCAAATTGCGCTGCGAAAGAAAAGAAAGGGTGTGAGGGAATTATGCAGCTTCTCTGTTGAATGAACGTCTTTCTTTATTACGCATGAAGCTTCACCCCGTGTTCTCCTTGTGAGTTCTCCTTTGCGCCTTGTAACAATCGCGTGTCTGTGCCTAGCCAACTGCAGACGTCGCGGATAAAAGCTACCTACCAACCAGCGTAAGAGAAAAGAGGCGCTTTGACAGGGGCATACGCCTTGTCAGAAGTGTCATTTTCTTGCTTGCTGCTTCAGAATGTGTTGTTGTGTCGTACACGTGCTGAAAGGGGTTCGATGTCTATGGACAAAGGAAATTACTGCGTGGACAGCCGGTACGCTCAGCCAGCTCCCTGTTTCTCTACAATCTCTTTTGGCAAGATTTGTGCGTAGTCATGTGAAGGACACAGCCAGTCAGCTATGGATGTGATGTCGAGGAAGCATATAAACCTCTTCCACTCCCACTCCCACTGCCAGCATAACTCTCATCTACGCACTCTCGTCTACACACTCTTGTCGGCACACTCTTGTCGACACACTCTCTTCGACACACTCCCGTCTACACACTCTCGTCGCGCAAAGAAAAAAGACAGCGACGACAACAACGACCGTCCGCCAACCAAACGCACAAAAGATTCCGCTCAACACAACACAAATTCAGCCCATTTTCCAGTACGCTTTACAAGACCCAAGGCACGATGGCCCAAAGCACAGTGTCCAAGCTTGAAAGTAAGCAGGTTATGTCCTTTTGTAGATATTATACTAATTATCGTATAGATTTCCGGGTCCCAGGGACAGAGGCTCTGGAAGCCCGCTTAATGAAGTACCTAGAAGGCGATAAATATACATGGCTCCGAGAGAACTGGATACCTAAGTTTCTTCATTTGGCCGGGTCAAAGGAACCCGCTGTTGGCATTGCCTGGATCATTTGTGGAACATTGGCCCAACTAAACAGAGAAGGTTCGCATATGAAGGAAAAGCCTCTAACGCCTGATACTCTCGGCAAGATGTACGCTACTCAGGATCTGAAGCTTTTTGGCGTCTTCTTCGAAAGCAAGGAAGTTGCAGAGAAGGCCTGGAAGCAGCTACCACCGTGGATGCCAGGCAAGTTAATGACGTCGGCCGACCTAGCATCCGCAGTTCTCGCGCCTATGAAAGCCGAGGTGACTTTTACGTCCAGATACAGCATCACAGCCTGGCGTCCGGAGAAGGAACTCAAACATAAGGAATCAAGCACGTTCCATGGCTCCTCGTCATGTGGACGTCCTCGGTCTGGTCTATCTACCGCTCCATTGAATCAACTTTCCTCTTTCCCTTCTCTTAACAGTACATCCTTTGGCATTGTGAATCCCTCCGAAGACGAGGGACCAAACATAGTTGATGGCTCCTCGTCATGTGGACCTCCTGCGTCTGGTCCATCTACCGCTCCATATGGTCAAGCTTCCCCTTTCCCTTCTATCAACAATACATCCTTTGGCATTGTGAATTACTCCGAAGACGAGGGACCAAACACAGTTGATGGCTCCTCGTCATGTGGACCTCCTGCGTCTGGTCCATCTACCGCTCCATATGGTCAGCCTTCCCCTTTCCCTTCTATCAACAATACATCCTTTGGCATTGTGCGTCACTCCGACGACGAGGAATCAAGCACTTCCAGTCGTCCCAATCCTGGGGGACCAGCCGCAGTCTATCATTGGCAGGAATCTGTACCTCCTGGGCTTGGTCTGTTTCCTTTTTCATCTGGTTCACTTCCCTTGGTATATACCAATCCCTATGAATGTGGTCTTCCCTCTCCATTTGCTGCTCTACCCTCTTCCACTTCTCCTGGCGTTACATCCTATGCCGATACGGAGAAAGCCAAAGACGAGCCATCGGGCACTTCCAATCGTTCCGAACGTCCCTGGGCTAACTTTAGTGTTCCCATGGAGGGGGAGCCGCTGGTGGATGACGACGGCGTTGTCTTTGAAACCCCCGGCTTCCGAAACCGCGGAGCAGCCAAAGGGAATAAGTGTGATGGGGAGGAAGAAACCTAAAACAACAACGACAGTGGGTGGCTCTCGAGAGTAGGTTTTACCCCAGCTAGGCAGCCTAGTATGGTTTTTCCCTACGGATGAGGAGGGCAAGGACCGGTTTTAGTCTTTGAATACAACGCCTATATTGATATTGCTATCATCGTGCTCGTTGTAGTACGGCCCGAGTAGAGTGTGTTGACGGCCCGCCGTATAGTTGATGTTGCCGTCTGTTTTGCCATCCAGCTACCGGATAGTATTTTGGCCTTTGTAGTCAAAAATAATGCCAAGCAAGTACAGTCGTAGCAAGACGCGGGAATGAGCCGGCATGCCTCTTCGAACCCCGAATGCAGTGGGCGGAAAGGTCCGTCCCGGGACTCGCATATGGCCAAGGACAAACTCGTATGATATGGGTATGAAGAGGCTGCTTTAGCTGATTATTTTAAATATCTGGAGAGGCATTTTTCCCAACGATTTTCGCGGAACTGGGATGATATATAAACCTAGAATAGTCTGTCACAAGTTAAGGTGTGAGGCTACAACAGTAACAGCCAGGTTAGTAGCACAATGAGTATGACTCGAATTATACATACTCTTACACAAGTGACGGGAAGCCCTCTACAATGCCGTGTGTATAATTAGTTTCCCCTGCTCACGGAGCCCAACACTTGACGCAGCTAGATTGCTGCTACCCTGCGAGACACGGTGGCAGAAATGTCTAGTATTGTTCTCTTGGCCGCAACGGGGCGATACAAGGGCAATTTCCGAATCCGTAAAGAGTACTCGCCCTGTTTAGGGCTAGGTATAATATTACTCCAGACAAGCGGGCGAAAGCGGAAATCGAAAGGGGAGACCAAGTATTCTGGAGACGTATCTGGGGATACACTGCGTTGGCACATGTGTGCTTCAACAATTTATGACTTGACTCAACACGTTACATGACTTGAAAACGTCGAAGCGTCAAATTGTACCAGGTACACCGATGCCTCGAAATCGCCACGTTCCATATCCTATCCATGTACACCGAGCGTTGGTTGATCGAAAAACCACACCTCCATTTTTTCCTCATCCAGAGCCAGTTTTCTGCAGTGGCTCCGCGGAAGCCAGAGGTCGATCCGTAGCAAACGCCTCAATCCTCTCGACGAGGGTGAAGCTGCTGGAAAAGTTCCAATCGTCGAGCTTCTTCCCCTCCTTGTACATCGTGACCCAAGGGACCATATAGTTCCCTCCGTCTCCAACGTTGGGGGGAAATTCACCGTGGTCGACCGAGACGAAAATAATGTCCTGCTGCATTTTGGAGAGCTCCTTAATTGTTTCTTCCACACCATCGCAGTGCGCGAGACCGGGCGATGTGATTGCGACGACGACTTTCTTGTTGCTGGCTATGACCTTGACCAGATCCTGTTCATCCTTTGAGTTGATGGCGAGGACAGGCATCTTGACCAGGTAAATGTAAAAGCAGGAGTTATATAGCCGTTTCGAGCAAAGTTGTTCTTTAGATAGGGGAAAGGCGGCAAGCAGGATGTTTTGTGACTTGTCCCACTCATTCAGAGTCCAAGAAAAATGCACGTTGTCCTGGCGTTCACTTCAAGTCCTTCAAATTCAACTTCCTCGCAGGGCATATATACCAGTTCAGACAACTCTATACAATAAACGTCTTTTTTTAGACGTCAAGAGTGATTGGTTCAAGCAACAATGTCGGTTTCACGTTTCGAGCCGGACATACCTGGGCATTGGGAGGTCCCAACACGCCTTGCAATTCCGCAACCCGAGATATCGAATCATGGCATGTGAAATTGTGCCTCGTGCCCAGGTTCGAAAAGTGTTTCACCAAAAAAAGAATAAACAGGCAGGCACCCTTCTTCTACTTGCTTGTGTCAGCGTCTCTTTCAACATACCAGACCCTACTCGGCTCCACAAAGAAACTCCAACGTACTGTTTCCCTCAGACCAAGATTCTTTGACAACGAGCGTACTGCTCATTATCAAGCGGGCTGGTACGCACCGCCGACGCCTTGGCCAAACTGTGCAAGTAGTCATAGCAGCTCGTAGAGATGGGCTTCTTTGTCCCTCACGGCACATTACCATACCGTACACGCACACCCACAATCGTACCAGCAAGACGCCTCCGCAACACAACAACGGGCACACCATGGACATACCAAATATATATTCCATGTCATTAATATTACTATGCAGCGTACCAGAAGGCCAAAGCCCAGCGAGGCCAGTCAACAGCGCCATACAATGCCCGCGATGCGAACCCCCCTCCGCTCACCACCATCAACCATCCGCAACCGTATTGCCACCTCCCAGTCCTCACAACTCCTTCTCAATAGCGCCCACAACAGCCTCCCTGACCGCCTCAGCCGTCGGCATCGCGTCGCCAGCCACGCTCTTGGACACCACCTCCTGCACGACCTCCCGCGCCGCCGCAGCGACATTGATATGCTCCCCCTTGATGTAGTACCACGCGCGGCCGGCAAGAACGGTAATATGGTGCGGGAGATAGAGCACCGCGGCGATAAACGTCATGCTGCAAAGGAGGAACAGGACTGAGTCTGACCCGCGGCGTTAGCATCTTCCCAATCCAGTGTCACTTCGTCTTTTTGCCGAACCAACGTCTTCTCAGGCACGGAAGCGCAGGGAGGGCACAGCACACGTACATATAACGCTCTTCTCCCACGATCGGAACATGTTCAGCGCAAACGTCACCTCGAACGTGTACTGCTTCCGCCGCAGCCAGCGTTGGCACTCGGCAGCCACGGACATGTCGGCGGCCCCTCTTGTACAAACACGTAGACAGCAATGGGTTTCTTCTGAGCAAGTCTCGGGGAATATATCAGCGTAGCGGGCGGCGGCAAGTCGAGCGGTGTCGCGGTCAATGTGCGGTTTTTCAGATTGGTTCGTGGGAGTGATTGTCCCTGAATCCAACGGCCAGGGGGATAAGATAAGCCAGGCCAGGTTCCAACTATTGTCCCCACGCGTTGCATAAAAGTACATATACCTCTGCCACAGTCTACCCAGCGCCACAGCAAAAGTCGCTATACAATCTGCCCCATCCCCAAATCCAAATCAACTCCACGACGTTTCCATCCCAGTGTCATCAAGGCGGCACTCAGGCTTATCCGAAGCTCGGCCCAAACGTCCGCATCCCAGCTCACAGCCATGAACATATTCCGCCTCCCTCGACGCATACCAAGAACGCATCTTCTCGCAACACTCTCGCGCCCATTCACCCTCACGGCCCTGCGGTCGAAAAACCTCCCGCCGCGCCCCAAACCCCCGCCAGACGCCGAGATCGAAGAGTCCTTCCTCAAGGGCTCCGGCCCAGGCGGCCAGAAGATTGTACCCAAATAAATAAATCACCACACGGTGAACTTTTCTTGCTAACCCCATGCCCACAGAACAAGACCAACTCGGCAGTTCAATTGAAACATGTCCCGACGGGCATAGTCGTCAAGTCCCAGGCCACCCGGTCGAGAAGCCAGAACCGCAAACACGCGCGCGAACTGCTCGCCCAGAAGGTCGACGACTTGCTCCACGGCGAGCAGAGCCGGTCGAGCATAGTCGGCCAGGTCAAGAAGAAAAAGGCCGCCAGTGCTGCCAAGAAGAGTCGCCGCAAGTATAAAAAGTTGGACGAGGAGAGGGAGGCTGCAGGAGAAGAGGAGGGGCCAGAACATTCACCACGCGAGTCCGAGGGCTCTGGTCAGGTTCAGGGAGAGACTACTATAGAAGAAACCAAACATCCCCAAGAAAATAATAACCGGCCGTGACGCAGTTATCCTACCATCGGCAAAACACACACTGCATTCACACGTGCAACTCTGCTTTGACATCGTTACAATCTTCCATTTTAACGAGTCTAGAACGGAAAGCAAAATAAAGTATTTGGTTTGATCAACCTTAGCTCTACCACTAGGCCCCGTATTACCCATCCGGTTACAACACATGACCCATCATCCCTCTTTGGAGAAAAGACACGGCCCGCCTCCTGAACCCTATCAAAAACTTTTCGTAAATATGACACCGGAATGAGATGCTCGCGAGGCCGAGAAGGCTCTGCATCGGCCGCCACCTCCGTGATCTTGGCTTGAGTTGGTCATGTGCGGGGGGTGTTTCGGTTCTGGTGTGACTTAGAAGCACTTGCGGTGGACAATCGAGGGACCGCTCTCGTCGTACTCCTGCTTCGAGATCCACATTTGCTGGAAGGTAGACAGAGAGGCCAGAATAGAACCACCGATCCAGACAGAGTACTTTCGCTCCGGAGGAGCAATGATCTTGACCTTCATGGAAGAAGGAGCAAGAGCAGTGATTTCCTTTTGCATACGGTCGGAGAGACCGGGGTACATGGTGGTACCACCAGACTAGGGCCAAGTTAGCTTGAGCAAAGACATTTAATTTAGGTGATGATTCCAAGATGCGTACCATGACGATGTTGCCATACAGATCCTTTCGCACATCAACATCGCACTTCATGATGGAGTTGAAAGTGGTGACGTGGATACCGCCAGATTCGAGACCAAGGACGGAAGGCTGGAACAGAGCCTCGGGGGCGCGGAATCGCTCGTTGCCAATGGTGATGACCTGACCGTCAGGAAGTTCGTAGGACTTCTCGAGGCTGGAGCTCTGAGAAGCAGTCTGGATCTCCTGCTCAAAGTCGAGGGCGACGTAGCAGAGCTTCTCCTTGATGTCACGGACGATTTCGCGCTCGGCAGTGGTGGAGAAGGCGTAGCCACGCTCAGCCAGGATCTTCATCAGGTAGTCAGTGAGGTCACGGCCAGCCATGTCAACACGAGCAATGGCGTGAGGAAGAGCGAAACCCTCATAGATGGGGACAACGTGAGTGACACCGTCGCCCGAGTCGAGGACGATACCGGTAGTACGGCCAGAGGCGTAAAGAGACAGGACGGCCTGGATAGAGACGTAGAAGGCGGGGGCGTTGAAGGTCTCGAAAACAATCTGGGTCATCTTCTCACGGTTGGACTTGGGGTTGATGGGAGCCTCGGTCAGCAGGACGGGGTGCTCCTCAGGAGCGACACGCAGCTCGTTGTAGAAGGTGTGGTGCCAGATCTTCTCCATGTCGTCCCAGTTGGTGACAACACCGTGCTCAATGGGGTATCGCAGGGTGAGGATACCACGCTTGGACTGAGCCTCGTCACCGACGTACGAGTCCTTCTGACCCATACCAATCATGATGCTGCAAACCTCCTGTTAGATGACCAGTTCCAAGGTATGGTATCGAGCGTGGTGCGCATCCAATGGCAGCGCAAAAATCGACTAGGCGATAAAAAAAATAGATATCGTGCCGTTGTGGGAAAAAATAACTTACCCATGGTGACGGGGACGACCGACAATGGAAGCTATGGCAGAAAAGTTAGCATGTCTGATGCCATTATCATGGCGGTGGCGACGGTTGCGCGCGCCGCTCAACAAATGCTCCCACAACGAGCTACAAAGGCCATCTGGAGTTGGGAGAATACGAAGTGGGGTACTCACGGAAAACAGCTCGGGGAGCGTCATCACCGGCGAAACCGGCCTTGCACATACCCGAACTACCATCAAGTCAGCACGATAATTCGATTGAAAATAGCAATCCCATTCCTCTCAATTTGATGACCCAACCGCCCCGTCGGCTCTGGTGCTGCTCGACACGTTTGCGTGGAGGACGCAGGGTACATCGCTCGAGAGGTCGGTGAGGGAGCGGGGGTGGCAGAGGACGGCATATCCGTAGCAGAGCACAGAAGAGCTTACCCATTGTCGATGACGAGAGCGGCAACCTCTTCTGTATCGAGAAGAAACGTTAGCGATGAGACAATCACACACAAGATCAACAGTCTTGGGGATGCAGCATTGCGAGGCGAGGCTGCGTAGTTGCGTGCGACGTACCCTCCATGGTGGCTGATTAAGGTAGAAAGCTGTTTGTACAGAAAAAGAGTACTGTTTAGTACAAGAGCAAACAAGAGCGAAATATTGGGCGTTTATGGATGAGGCTCACGAGATAAGGGAGATGCGAAAGTGACGAAGCAAGCGATGAGGAAGAACCGGGAAAGAGACTCGGTGGTGGAAAGATTTGGTGGTAACTGGGGGTGTGAGGTTGAAGGAGGAGGAAGAGTGGGCATGATAAGTGGAGGGGAGAAAGGAGGGCAGCCTGACACCTGGCACCGCAGAGCTGGGCCGGGGCCAGGGGAGCGAGCATCTACTGTTCAACTGGTGCTAGCACTGGCCCACTGGCTCTTTGGCGCAGTGCTCGTTGTCAGCTCCCTCGCTCCCTCGCCCACGCACCGCGCACCACGCAGCGCCTGCTCCACCAGCCGAGACCATCAGCGCCAAACGACCAGTAGCTGCCTCTGGTAGCAGTTCGAGCGGCCCCCCTTGCCCAGCTGCGGTGCCGCTTTAACAGTGCTTGATTGGCTGGTGGTGGTGGCTGGGTCTGGGTGCGCGCCAGACGACGGAGCCTCCATTCTCGCCATCGGATTGCTGCTCGAGAATGAGTCGAGCCGTCGTCGTCTTCGCCGTCGTCACCGCACAAACACTGTACATATTCCAACGGAGCCAACTGAACCAACCGCTCTGGGCCCCAGCCCTTTTTTTTGTCCTCACGCCCTAGATCTCTGCGGAAGATTGGCAGGGATGAACATCATACGCCTTTGTGCTTCACCAAACATTGATCCCCGACACCTGGCACAATCCACGGCACGGCCGCCTGACACCTCTTGCAGCTGTCCCACACGTCATGTTGGCAGTTGCTGAGCGAGCGCGCGGTCAAAGATTCCTCGCTCCTCCATCCCCATCTTAAACGCTCAGCCACACAGCCTTGCGTCGACTACCCACCGTTTCAACCACCGTTTACCAAGTGCTGAACGTGGGAGGCAAAAAGTCAAATGTATTCCATATACCATACGGAGTAGTACATTAGTATGTACTTCTTGATGTGCAAATATGCTGCCACGGACTGTATTCCTCCATCCGTTAACGTATTCGGAACCGACCTAGGTGTGCTCAGTTGTTCAAACCACAATGCACCCAGACGCCAGCGCGAGCCAACACATCACCGGCTCACAGGGGAAATACCCGCTACCGCACCCATTATATTGTCGCTAGCACGAACCGATAGGCGGGGAGAGAGCTCTCCGAGATTGCCTGCGTCGTTCGTCACCCCTGGTACGGAGTAGAAGCTCGTCATAATCCTGGTTCCATGCTGGAAAATTGGCCTGTGCCTCTTGTCCGCCAAATACGAACGAGGTGCTCCGAAACTGTCGCTGTTTCCTACTCAAGCTCCTACTCATGAAGTGCTTTCTTCAGTCAAGCAGCTTCTGAAAATCATCAAACCATTCGTCATCACTAATCTCGGCCCCGGACGCCCGGGCATCATCCGCCAGGGCTAAAAGACCACGAGAATTGTCTGCCATTGTCTCAAGGTCGTCCGGCTCATAGCCAAGCACGGCATTCTGATGTGTCTATGAGCAACTAATCGGCGCTTTCTTTGGGTCTCGTCTTACCATAAGTTGGATTGGACATGATGATGGCAATTACGTCCGTCACCAACAGCGCGGTAGTGTTGCTACTAAGCCTGGGCCGCTTGAAGGCTGTCGGAGCACAATGCAGCACGGCATTGACGCCGGTCCCTTGTCAGCATCCGTGTCAGCACCACATGCTGCACATCCCAAGAAAGGGTGTACGTACTTGAAAGAACATGGTCACGGTAGTCACGACAGCACGCCTAATCTCATCTGTACCACGAAATAGCGACTCGATCGTCACGAACTGCAACTTGAACGCGTTCCAAGCTGTCTGCTCCTCCAGGTGTACAAAAATGCTCCGTCACATACTCTGTAAAATAACGACTAGGCTTTGATTTAGAGAAACAGTTTCGGCCAAGAAGCCCGAGAGCAAGGTACCCCAGACAAACGCCAAGCTCAAGAATAGCAGTCATTCACCATTTCTTAGTATAGTTAGCATTGAGCTCGCTACGGTCATCTTCGTCCGCATCGAAACCACATCCATCAGTGACTATACAACCCACCACGTCTTTCCATTCATTCGGTCTCGATATGCCGGCAGTGTGTCACGTATTTCGACTCCGCGCCTAAAGAGGCCAGTTTCAGGAAGGGCAAAAATTCTAAACACATCAAAACATTAAATAACGCCTCAAGGTATATAAATAAGACACAAAAGACAAAAAAAGCATATGCCGTACCTACCTATGAGTACATACCTAGGTAGTTACGTATATATGCCCAATCGCAAGATAAACGCTAGGAGAACTCAAGCTCAGTTCTAGTGTCAAGTCAGAGGTTCAGTGATAACATGGAATACAGTCATATCTGCGAGCCTAGCCAGCAATTACCTTGTAGCGAGTCCTTCCGCAACATCTCCCCGGTCGCCGTATTATCTACACCCAATCTCGACAGTGAGCCACTTGCACAAACTATATCTGATATGCAAGGTCTACTTCCATGCAGTGGCAGTGGCTGAGGCCATCGTGACATATAACCTTTGCCAAGCGTATCCATGCCGCGCTATGCCGTAGTTATGAATCATCTCACACATTACAATACGTGTCTGTGCAGCGTTAATGATACGTGATGGTTGTACGGTTTGGGTTCGACCAGGCACACAGTGTTGATCTGCCTTTATTGGGCCTTGCCTGATACAGTGCTTGCACAAATAGTACGACAGGTCAATTGTATCAGGAGTCATAAAACTAATAAAAGAAACAGACTAACCACACTAGAACACCGTTTCGAAACGCCGTTTCCTACGACCGTCGACG